AGGTTGGGCCACGCGTGAAACGCCCCCCGGGCCCCGCTGCCCCACGCGTGGATTTAGGGGAGGGGGCTTTGCCTCGGGGTCGGGAGGGAAAACCAGCGCCCGGCGCCTCGCTTACCCCACGAGTAAAGTCCAGAGCCGTCGATAGCGCTCTGCTGACCTCACTCACACGGGGGATTTGGGGGAAAAGCGCCCGAAACGGTGGCTTTAACCAAATACCTCGTGTTTCGATCAGGTTTTTTTGGTGGCAGGTAGCTCAGAAGGTGCTCTCGGCACGTGTCTTTCTCCAGTGAAACTGTTGAAGGCCCCCGAGCCTTTGGCAGCTTTCTTTAAAAAGTTTGTGCTTGTTTGGAGTGGTGTTTTTTGGGTGGAAAAAATAAAACAATAGTGAGATTTTTTTCCCCTGCAGCTGGCGTGTGGCTTGGAGGCTTCTGCAGCGGCCCTAAAATGCTCTTATTTAAGAGGTGAAAGCGAGAGTCACCTTGTTAATGTCCTTCCTAATGAGTGGTGTGTTCCGCTGTAGATAAAATAATTTAGAATTAATTGGCTGCTCCTCGTTAGCTCTTCTCCGAGTGCGCGACTTGTATCGATCCTCCAGTTGTTTCGGTGGCTTTGGCACGGGGAAATTATTTAATTGGGCTTAATTAACCCGTGGAACTTGCTGAAATAATCTGGAGTTGTAGGGTGCGGGAAGAAGTCGGAATGGGCACAATGAAACGATTAGATTTTTAGGAATCATTTGGCAGTTCCCTTGATGCCAGGGCAGCTCCTACCCCGGGCTGCGCTATAGGAAGCGATTAAAAGTCTATAAATAAAATTTGGCAGTTTTTTTGCAGCATTTGAGGCACGCTCAGAGGAAGGGGAACTGTGGTGTTTTTTGGTTTTTAAAACGGGTGTCAAAAGATTTTGGACTTGGGCTTAAATTGAAGCCCAGCAGCAAACCAGCAGGTGTTGAAGAGTCTCAGAGGCGTGGTTTCGGTGGGGGGTGTGTGGGGGTTTTGGTGCTCCCAAGGCTCACGGGTGACTCCCTGTCCTGTGTGAAGGTGACAGAGTTGGTGCTCGATAACTGCCGGTCCAGCAACGGGGAAATCGAAGGTCTCAATGACTCGTTTAAAGAACTGGAGTTCCTCAGCATGGCCAACGTAGAGCTGACGTCGCTGGCCAAGCTCCCCACGTTGAGTAAGCTCCGAAAGGTACGTGTGGGGCTGGCCCGCCAGCAGAAATTGGGAGGGGACCACCCGTGGTTGTGACTTTTGGTGCTCACCACTGAGCTTGGGTGGTGCTGATGGTGCTTCTTGAGATGGCCTCCACCAATCTACAGCCATGTCCAACCTACCTTTAGTTGAAGTTCTGGAATTGGCTTGGGTAGTGCTGGTTAATCGTGGCCAAATTGGGCTTGGTCAAGAACTCTTAGGACAGACTCTTCATCTGTTGACCTTGGGAAGTTTGGCCACGTCTTGCTGATGGTTGATGGTTGGGTTGTCCAGCTGGTGAGGTACCATTGCTGGCAGAAAAAGTCTTATAGGGAATTCTGCTGCTCCATATTCTACTAATTTAAACTTTAGGTATCTAAAGCAGTGATTTTTAATGATAATTTATAATTTTCAAACTTAAAGTTAACTTTTTAACAGCTAAAACTTGTTAAATTGTGCAACTTCCATATTCTACTAATTTAATCTTTAGATATCTAAACCAGTGATATTTTAATGAGTAATTTAGAATTTTCAAACTTAGTTAACTTTTTGACAGCTAAAACTTGTTAAATTGTGCAACTCCTCAAGTGTTTTGTGAAGACATTTGTGAATAAATGATTTAAAATTATGTGGTCTGAATTTAATGGTAAGAAGCCAATCATTTAATTACCTTTTTTTTTTCCTGTATAATAGTTGGAGTTGAGCGACAACATCATTTCAGGAGGCCTGGAGGTCCTGGCAGAAAGGTGTCCAAATCTCACATATCTAAATCTAAGTGGCAACAAAATCAAAGATCTTGGCACTGTGGAAGCTCTTGTAAGTATGAAGAGGATACACATCTAATAAATATTGTTATTTTATCAGTTCTGAATGAGACATCTCCTCGTTACTTGTCCTCCTTCCTGGTGGATGGTTTCTGCTGTGTTTGGGGTTTCTCAGGGCTCCAGTTGGTCTTGCCTTGAGTAACTTGTTTTGTCATTATTAGAGACAGTCCTTGTCCACGTTCTGCTGCCAGATCCCTCTCTGGTAGCAGTGGGATGTACTGAAGAAGAGATTTTTGAGCTGCTTTTTGGCCTTTGAGAGAGAAGGAGCTGAGTTGTATCTGTGAAAGCACCAGCAGTGGGTCAGTTAATGTAGGAGCAAGCTGCCAGTGCCTGTTTCACCCATTTTTCTAGCTTATATATTTTTTTAGGACTTGGATTCAGACTACATATTTATAAAACTGCTCAGGAGGATTCTTTGCCTACTTTAATGGTGCTTTATCCCAGCAGTGGGTAGACCAAGCAAAGCAGATGTAGAAGAAGAATTCATTGGGAGCTTAGGTGCTCACTAGGCCACGTGGGTGGCTCGTCCTGCATGGGTGTGGAGTCACAAAAGTGACAAAAATCACCATCAGTGGTCTGGACTTTGTTGTTCAGAAGGCAAATTCTGCTCTGGGGTTGTTTGAACTGAAGTTTGTATTTAATGAGGAGCAAAATAACAGAAAAGGGATGGGGACAAAAATACACAGTGTGGGTGGTTGACTGCATTTGGGCCTCTCACTGGGAGCACCGTGTCAAGAAATAAGGGGGAAAACCCCATTTTTTGTTTGTTTTCAGCAAAATCTGAAAAACTTGAAGAGCCTTGACCTGTTCAACTGTGAGATTACAAACCTGGAGGACTACAGGGACAGCATTTTCGAGCTGCTGCAGCAAATCACATACCTGGATGGGTTTGATCAGGAAGATAACGAGGCACCAGACTCGGAGGATGATGATGATGAGGGTAACGTGGCTGTGATGAAGATGTG